TTTAACCAGATTACCGATAGATCTGGCCATTAAAATTTTGACCATGTTACCAATACATCTGACCAGTAAAACTTTTAACCAGATTACCGATAGATCTGGCCATTAAAATTTTGACCATGTTACCAATACATCTGACCAGTAAAACTTTTAACCAGGTTACCGATACATCTAGCCAGTAAAACTTTTAACCAGGTTACCGATATATCTGGCCATTAAAATTTTGACCATGTTACCAATACATCTGACCAGTAAAACTTTTAACCAGATTACCGATACATCTGACCAGTAAAACTTTTTACCAGGTTACCGATACATCTGGCCATTAAAACTTTTAACCAGGTTACCGATACATCTGACCATTAAAACCTTATGTGATAAAACATATTGAAAAAATCATGCCAAACATTTAAAATTTACTCAACGTTAATTCCTTGACAACCTAATATACGTCCACCAAAAGATCTCCCATAACTATAACCCTAATGTCCTAACCCTCTTACTTTTTAATATTTAGCCTAACTACTTCCACTATCAGGCTCCCCAGTGGCACATTGACACGTCTGAAGGCTTATAATGCTAAAATTCTGGGTTTGATTTCCCTCGGTGGACACAGCAGATAGCCCAATGTGGCTTTGCTTTAAACACAAACAAATAAGATGAACTGAATAAAACATTGAAGTTGTAAACAAAAGTTTAGAATACTCACCAAATCTATTGGGCACTCAAATAATACGAAACATGTTTATACTTCCTCTACCAGTGGAACAGCGGATTTACGACGTTAAAATACTGGGTTTGCTTTCCCGTGGTGGACACAGCAGATAGTCCAATGTGACTTTGCTCTAAACATAAACGTACATATAAGTACGTGACATGTAAAGCGATCCACACCACGTGACTATGGCCCTCAGCTGATCAACTGGACTTTCTTCCTGTTCTTGAAGAGGAGTGTAAAGTGTGGACATTCATTTACCCCCCCCCTCCTTTATCCCTGAAAAACACAGGGGCTCCATCAGTCAAAAGCCTTAGGGTTTCATCATTTTTTTATGCGACTGACCAACATTTTTTATCCTGTGTATTTTTTACTGTCATGAACATAGGGTTATAAAGATATTAACGATCATGTGCTTATGGCTAACATATAGTCGTTAAGGTTAAGGCCAACGAACATAATATAATTCACCCTCGACTCAGCTAGATACAAGGGTTTTATAATACAGACACAGAGGTTGAACATGTTATATTAAAACGTCTTAGAGCCTCACCACGTCGTTACCTTCCACGTTGCCACGGTTTTTCATGCTCTGTCTTATAAGGTGTATCTTCAAAACAGTCCTACAGCATAGGGATATCTCTGCAAAAGACCTTGTCATAAGGCTGTCATGTCCAAAACATACCACTCCTCGACGATTTCTTTCCATTATCCATCTAGTATACCTGCATGGTGATTTCCCAGTGCACTTTTCAACGGTTCAATTGCAAAAAACTCCACATACAACTTGACTGATATATCTTTATATGGAATAGCATGAATACTGTTTTATTCTTAGCGGCTTGAGGTATGAGATGGTTGAATGTACATGTCGTGAAAACAATTTGTGTATACATGACTTCTAGACGAGATCCTGCTTCATTATGTTGCATATTGTTGCCTGTGGCAGCTTTTGCTACTGCCCTCTATGTTCACTTATCTACGTGACGACAAACAACAACGGTCTAAATCTACTTCTGATACCACTACGACTTTATATTGGTTGTTGTTGTTGTTGTCACGTGACTTGTTGATTTCCATATTCAAAATCGTTTTAAAACAATCTAACTTAATGTTCATATGGGATGAATCCTATTTCAAGGAATAAGATCACCTCAAGGATCATCACCCAATGTGAAAACAACCACGAATTCTAATTGGCTTATTTTTGAAAGTTTGGTTTCTTGTGTCTATTACAAAAAAATATAAACAGCCACTGTTCAATCGATTCAGTAGATATAACATATATATAGCATCTTCAATTATCTGGTTGCTTACTGGCAGTGACTCTAATAAAGAAACGTCCAATTAGTTTTATCACTTACACACATACACGTTCAATTAGTTTCATTACTAACACACATACACGTCCAATTAGTTTTATCACTTACACACATACATGTTCAGTTAACTGGACGTGTATATGTGTAAGTAATAAAACTAACTGAACATGTATGTGTGTAAGTGATAAAACTAACTGGACGTGTATGTGTGTTAGTAATGAAACTAATTGAACGTGTATGTGTTTAAGTGATAAAACTAACTGGACGTGTATATGTGTAAGTATAAAACTAGTTTTATCACTTACACGTTCAATTAGTTTCATTACTAACACACAAACACGTCCAGTTAGTTTTATTACTTACACGCATACGCGTTCAATTAGTTTTATCACTTACACATATACACGTCCAGTTAGTTTTATCACTTACACACATACACGTTGGGTATTCTCATTTCCTATCTGACGTCACCATGCCAGCTAGAGAAACCACTAAGACTTTCGACTTATGGTTCCTACAAATACTGAACCGAAAAAGACGAGTTTTTCACTTTCTTACAAATTCTTTGTTAATATTATTTCCAATGCAATGGTGTGAAAGTCATTTTATCGTTAGTGTTTTTTATTATTATTATTATTTTATCTGGTACATGTCTCTGTCTAGTAAGTTGTTGATAAACCTTACAAATAAGTTAATAACGAGTACATTATTTAAACTCTTCAATATTCAATCACTCTTCTTACTTGGAAGTGAGTAAGTGATTACATAAGAAATTATACATAATAATAGCATCAATTACTCACAAACTATATAGTTTGCTAAACTAATAAATGTTTAACCAAAAGTTCATCCACACAATTCATGCTAAATTAAAGACTGAGTCACCTGACTTAGCAAACTGTAAGGACGTTTTCTTGCTACACAGTAGCTGTGCCCACCACGGGTATCGAAACCTGGATTTTAGCTCAAAGACTTACCGCTGAACTACTAGGGTGGGGTGGGGGTGGGGCTTTAAATAAATTCCAACGAGTAGAGATTCCGTTTTAATGTTCTTTTACAAGAGCCATGAGAGGTAAATACGAGGTCAGCAGGATTGTGAAACCAGAAGGTTAGTATTGTTGAGTAACTCGTGTAAATTTCACGAGATGTCCAGTTCTAAAACCATTCTGTACGACTGGTTGCACGCAGCGAGTCTAGTGTAGGATTTCACCTTAACATGATGAATCAATTTTACGAGGATTTACTTTGGCGGGTTTCTCCTGGGCTTAACAGTCACCCTTATCAACATGGCAGCATTTGGGATTTCTCTCGATCGATAATCTCCAGCACGTGCATGTACCGCACTCAGACATACACGAACAAAGCCGCGCACACATGTGTAGATGTGCCATTATAGTGCTTCAGTTAGGACTAGTGTTTCAGGTTTTGTTGTCTTTTTCCGTCCAGCCTCGAGCTAGGAAACAAGTTACCGTTTTTGTGATAAAAACATACTGTATTTATACACTACTATAATTAAGAATAAGTCCATTTTGAACCACTAGGTGGCACCAAACAAAATACAACTTATGGAAATAAATTTCATATGTAGTATAAAAATATTTTACATTGCTATAAGAAGATCAAAATAAGAAATATTGCTTTATAACTTAAAACACTGAGAGAATTGATTAAAGTCCAGGTAATCAAAAACTAATAGTCCAACGCCTTGGTTTTTCAAGTTCCTTTAAAAGAAGACATGATCCAATTAAGAAAGTACTCTGTACATATACGTTTTGAAACATTTCATTTTTGTGTGTGCTGTTAAACACAAAGCTACACAATGAGCTATCTGGAGCGTGTTCACCACGGGTATCAAAACCCGGTTTTTAGCGTGAGAAGCCTTCAGACTTGCCGCTGAGCCACTGCGTAGTATGGACAAAAGCATTTCAATCATTAGTATGTACAACACAATTATAAAGAAAACATTCTGACCACATTAGATAAAGACAGTACTGTAATTCAGATTATTAGCTCATAAAGTAATAAAACCTTAAGACTATCACCTGTTATTACTTTACAAAATATAAACCTTTTACTTTTCGTTCATTAAAGAAACATCAAGGACATTAGTTGAAATTAAAGGTTGTTTGTTTTGAAGTGATGGACTAGAGGGAAGGCAGCTAGTTAATACCAACCACCGCCAATTCTTGCGCTACTCTTTACCAACGAATAGTGGGATTTACTGTCATGTTTTAACGCCTCCACGGCTGAAAGGGACGGCATCTTCGGTGACAGGATTCGAACCCGTAATCCACAGATTGCGAGCCAGGTGTTAAAGCCTGTTCCTTCACTTTAATTAAAAACGATGAAAGAATTTCAGTTATTATTTCACCTTGAACGTCCGATGTTAGTAGTCACTCAGGTCACGTCCAATGTTAGTAGTCACTCAAGTCACGTCCATGTTAGTAGTTACACAGGTCACGTCCGATGTCAGTAGTCACTCAGGTCACGTCCAATGTTAGTAGTCACTCAAGTCACGTCCGATGTTAGTAGTCACTCAGGTCACGTCCAATGTAAGTAGTCACTCAAGTTACGTCAGATGTTAGTAGTCACTCAGGTCACGTCCAATGTAAGTAGTCACTCAAGTCACGTCCGATGTTAGTAGTCACTCAGGTCACGTCCAATGTAAGTAGTCACTCAAGTCACGTCCGATGTTAGTAGTCACTCAGGTCACGTCCAATGTTAGTAGTCACTCAAGTCACGTCCGATGTTAGTAGTCACTCAGGTCACGTCCAATGTTAGTAGTCACTCAAGTCGCGTCCGATGAAAATGGAAAACTCTTCACGCTATCACTTTACTTTGAAACAAGAAACTTCAAACCGTTATAAAGATTTAAAGAAACTTCAACCGTTATAAAGATATAAAGAAACTTCAACCGTTATAAAGATATAAAGAAACTTTAACCGTTATAAAGATATAAATAAACTTCAACCGTTATAAAGATATAAATAAACTTCAACCGTTATAAAGATATAAGGAAACTTCAACCGTTATAAAGATATAAAGAAACTTCAACCGTTATAAAGATATAAAGAAACTTCAACCGTTATAAAGATATAACTTTTTCGTGTATGTAAATCCAATGACAACTTTCAGAATATGATATTAAGATTTGTAAAGGTTAAAAAAAGATTTACTAAGATGGTTTTTATTGAATAATAGTATAATTGTAATTGCTGTTTTGTTTAGGGTCTAAGCTACTGAAGCTACCGTACCTATTTTATATTGCAGACCACAGGGAAGGCTACCAGCCAGCAGCACCCTCCCCCAGTTCTTCGACTACTTTTTTGCCAACGAAGAGTGGTATTGACTGTTACATTATAACACCCTCACGGCTGAAAGAGCGAGCATGATCGGTGGCGGGTTTCGATCCTGCGATCCACAGATTGCAAGTCGAGCACCCTAACGGCCAGATCCGGTAGTCATTCTAGTAAACTACGTTAAATAAGGCTTAGAGCTGTTGGTTCGCTTTTCTTTTTCTTCTGTTGATATTTTCAAAACAAAAGAGCTTTTAAACTTGACATTTGCTGTTAAATAAATGTGGTAGGGACATTCAAGCCATCTCTTTACATTGAATAAAGGTTTCCAAATCTTATTTCATTTAAATATGTTGAACAGGGTTAATATAAATGCTCACTCTGTTCACATTATTTGTTCACTTTGAACCAAGTTTTATTTATAGGTTCGGTTTTATAATTATCAGGTTAATTATTTCTCTGAGCTGCTGGTAATATTATGGTTAGTTTTAAAATAAACTTGTCAATTAGTTTCTCTATGGATGAGAACAGGTCTTCTATCTTAAACTTCTTTAGTGTACTTTAACAAAACTGTAACTGTTTATTCAACAAATCGAAAATACACTTTGTATTAGATTTCGTCCATATATCTTTTTTTTTAGTATCAATTAATCCTCTTAACATATTTTCATATACTAACTTGTACTATATCTAAACATACCAACAATAAATATAACGTCCAATCACTTATCACTGAGTTATACCAACCTCTCACCAGTAATGCTGGACAAGAAAAATGGAAAGAACAAGTATAGGCTTCTTATAGTGGTTTTAAATTGTGTGTCGTTTCTACTTACCACGGATAACTTATATTTATATTTAGGATTTAATAAATATGTAGCATTGATGCTACTAATTTATATTTCTAAATCATTCAACAAGCAACCACTGGGCTTCACTAGCTCCGTTTTCTTAACAACTAACCTTCTGTGTGATATGCAAATTAACAGCCTTTACATCACTCATATTTAATGTTCTTTGGTGGCTCAGCCGAAAGACTATAACACTAAAAATCGCGTTTCAATACCAGCGTTGGCCAGAGCTCAAATTGATCATTGCGTAGCTTTGTGCTTTACAACAAAACAAAGAAAGAAATATAACCGCCTAGCAATAACTACCTAGAAATAATAAACATTAGTTTAAACGCCATCTGTTGTGCTTAGAAAAAACTAACAAGTAGTAACCCAAGTTACTTCAATTTCATCTGCTTCTTGCGCGACCTGGTAATCTTAAAGAGAACTACTAAGACCTGAATTATAAGCAGTTTTGATTGACTGACAATGTTGTGGTAAATCTAGCTTTAGAGTATATGTAAGCTAGATTATAGAATATCCATAAATTTTTTCACTGGTGGCAAGGATAAATAAGAAAAAAGAATAAAGGATATTCGCTTTAGCGTCAATTTACGTTATCAATTAGTTGTCCCTTAAAAGTAAATAAATAAATATATATATATATATACATACATATATTATGGTAAAAAGGTTATATATATATATTATGGTTATTTACTTTTAAGGGACAACTAATTGATAACGTA